ATGCTACACAGTGGATAACCCTATCTGGGCTCAGAGGAGAGAAAGGTGAATCAGGAGTGGATGTTTTAGAAGCAGAGATGTTGGGCTTTAAGTATTTATTAATCAATATGGCTATTCTATAGTTGAGCATGGCTATGTTTACCTAGTATGTAAATCCTTGCCAGAGGTTAGAATATTCACGTGCTCAAAATATGTTCCAGCCAGAGAAAACCCCTCATCCTCTCATGCCACCACCAATCATCCCTAAGAAATCCCGGCAACATCAGTAGGACACTATCGTGCACTGACAAGAAGGCGACATGTTGAATATGACCCCAACAGAAAGTGAAGAAGCTGCAAGAATGAGTAAGAAGAGACTGGAAATTGGAAACCAAGCTTCTTTCAGACCGAGAGGTGAATAAGGGTCAATACACAAACTATTCTCCACTGGCTGCTGTTCTGAATGGGCCACTGCAATCAATGTAGGATCTTGTGACTCTGGTCTCAGCTGTACATATGCCTCAAGGAGAAATCTTTCTCGATTTTCTTACTGTATTTATTGCCTGAGTCTTACCAGTAAAAGAAATGTTGTAAAACACCGTGTAAATACTACAAATAAAACCTATTTACCTGAACCTAAACCATGCGTAGAAAGCAGCATTCAGGTAACCGTTGGTTTGGAAAGCTGTTGCCTTTGAAATGGCGAGCACAGTGCAATCCCCGATGGTGAACAGTCCCTCTTCTATAGCTTTTCTTCCCTGCACAAATCAAGAAGAAAGTTTTCACAAACCAAAAATTGCTTCCTCAAATACTTCTTGCTCTCTTCCACCCACCAAGAACAACAACCCAAAAACCTCCAGATTGAATCAAATCAATTTGTTTTCATGATTTAAAAATATATCGTTTGGATTTTGAATACCTTAAGCTTTTTTTCCCCACCCTACATATATGTAGCACTGAAAAGGAAGCATTGCTACAAACTCAACATCCTAGCATTTCATTTCAAACAGAAGTTCACAGTTACCTGTAGGTCCATCATCCAGGTTGCATTTGTGGTAGAGCTGCAAAGTCACTTGAAGAAGCTCTGTGTGGTCCATGGTCCCCGATCTATCCCAATTTTTCCTTTATGCAGCCTATGCTGGTCACTCGTATATCAAGAAAACAGAGAGCTGCATATCATGCAAAAAAACCCAAACCATTCCAACAATTCTAGTAGAAAAAATATAACAAAGGATATCCTTTGTTATATAATAATAACAAATAAACAAAGGTATGCGCACAAGAACCATACATTATGAGACTCTTTTCCTGATGCTTTTAAGAACTGAACTCCTCTGCCAGGTTGGGCTGAAACTAGGCAATAAGTTGAAAAGTTATTTGGAAAAACAGATGGTTTTTTTAATTGTGTGTAATCACACAATCGCTTCATTTTCCTTTCCTTGGGAAAGGACACCAAAAAAAACCAAGAGGAAGTCCTGTGAAAATATTGTTTTACCTTCTTTAATGTCACAACACTAATAATTTGCAGGAAGCATGAGCAGACATGGTAGCATAAAAACCCACTGCCTGCACATATCTTTACTTGCTTTCTGCTTGAGCAAAACCTCGAGGATAAGAAAAGTTTTTTATACCTCAGGCATTTCTCTTATCCTGTTAGTCTTTCACTCTTTCTCACAGCTAAAAGAGAAGAATCCCCAGAGCTCACTGGGGTCCCAAACATCCGTGATCATTATTTATGTGAGTGAATGACTATATGAAAGCGTATCACCTAATTCTCCTAACTGCTACCCTGCATTTCCTAAAACTGTGTGGGAAGGTCTTTATCTGATTGCGAACAGCAAGCCACTAAGTATCCTTTAAAACAAACCATGTTTTAAACAAAGTTTAAACCTTCGTTTTAACAGTGGAAGTTTCTTAAACATTTACACAGAGAAAATCCTGAAGAATTGTAGATCCGGGAGAATTTTTTTTTTTTAATTAAACTTTTGGAGAAGGTGCACAAACATAAAGATAGAACAATAACTCCTCCCCTCTGCTAGGTACCACTCCCCTGTCCTGAAATTTTCCCATGATACCTTCTTCATTTTAGAAGTGAAAGTTCAGGAATACAGATCCAGATTAGAAACACAAAACGCTAAATAGTAACACTGGATCCGGCATCAGGAAAACAATACACATTACTCAGAGAAAAGCTGCTAAATTTGGTTCTAACTTCAGAGCTTGGTTGTTGGAAGATCCCAGAACTAATGACTGTTGATATTTTGCAGCACTGAAAGGATGTTGCGAGACTGTCCTTGGCTGCTTGGTGATGAAATACAGAATCACAGAATGGTTTGGGTTGGAAGGGACCTTAAAGATGACCCCCTTCCAACCTCCCTGCCATGGGCAGGGACACCTTCCACTAGACCAGGTTGCTCCAAGCCTCATCCAGCCTCGCCTTGGACACTCCCAGGGATGGGGCATCCACAACTTCTCTGGGCAACCTGTCCCAGTGCCTCCCCACCCTCTCCGGGAAGAATTTCTTCTTGATATCCAATCTAACCCTCCCTCTTTCAGTTTAAACCCGTTACCCCTTGTCCTGTCACTACAGGCCCTTGTAAAAAGTCCCCCCCCAGCTTTCTTGTAGCCCCTTCAGGCACTGGAAGGTGCTGTAAGGTCTCCCCGGAGCCTTCCCTTCTCCAGGCTGAACCCCCCAACTCTCCCAGCCTGTCCCTATGGCAGAGGGGCTCCAGCCCTCGGAGCATCTCTGTGGCCCTTCTCTGTTTAAGCTTCACCTACTGTGCACATCTATAGTGTAGAACTTATCGTATCTTCACTTAAGTCATAATTTGATGTCATTTTGGAGTCTGCATATTTGCTGTTTTGTTAGCACTGACAAGGAACTTGGGGGGCGGGGGAGGACATTTAGACATTACCATATACCATATTCTAACTATTTAGTCAGGACAATAATGCTAATGAAACATTGTATTTCTAAATTGAGGCGTGACCACTCAGCCTCCAGAAACTTTGGAATATATTTCAGGGATATTTTATTTTCTCTTGTGAAAAGAGATTAAAGCATAAAAACCAAAACCCAAACTGTTAAAGACGTTTCATTGGATGTAAATGATTTGAGGGAGAAGCCTTTTCTGACCTACAGTCCATATGCAGAGATCAACCTGAAGTTCAAATCAGAACTTGAAAAACCCCATAAACTCTGGGATTTGAGTTGAAAATCCAGCCATGATCTGTTTCAAATATTGCAGCAATTTCACACTGATAAAATATAGCTATCATTCTTTCTGAATGGAAACTTAAATACAGTGTTTTCTTACAAGCTCACTGTTCTGAGCTAACAGCTTTCATTTCCTTTGATGCAATGAACAGCTCTTTCACTGAAATTCTCCATAGCTTAAATGATTCACACTTTGGGTTTTTCCCTCTGAATTAGAGCCTTAAGAAGTCAGGAAATTGGTTGCTTTTCCCATCAATAAGCAGCCATAAAGTCAGGTGGTTAGTTAAGCGGGAAGTGGAACTGTTCTTCAAGGTAGGCATATAGAAACCCAAACGTCCACTGTGCAAATTTCCAGTGAATAATACGGCTCTGTTCATCATGTTTCAGTATTAACTGGCAGTGGTGTTGGCTGTTCAACACCCACAGCCCAGAAAGTCTTGTAGACCAAGATTGCTACATGTTGCCAGAGGCACAGACTTTCACTAGACACTCAAATCTTTCATTCTGCAAATAGTAAGCTCTGTTGAATATTTTTGCCCCAAATATCGCTGCTTTTCTGCCACTATCAGGAATGGAAAAAAACCAAACATCAGCCACAGTTTCCTGCTATTTTGGTGGTGGGTAGCTGAAAAGCTGGTTTAACCAGCAGCCAGGAAATGTTAAACCACTTACTTAAAAAGGCAAAAAAGTGCAAGTGCTCCAATCTAGAATTCATTGATACAACAATTTGGTTGGGCATACACTGCTGAAATAGCCAGAGCTCTGTAAGAGAGGGGAAGTAAATTGCGAAAGTAAAACTAAGCTTGCTTAAGAACACCGGGACAACCTAAAAGAACAAACCCCTTCGTTTCCAGTTTGCTTAATCATATCACATAGGCACTTCATTCAATTTTCAAGTTTATTTTACCTTTACAAAAGGACCACAATCAGAAATCTTGCTGAAAACATTAAGAAAACAAGAAGGGTCAATACAGAACCAAGAATAAAAATGGCCAGCATAGGAGGAGCAGTAATAAGTGTCTTTACTAGCCAGTGTTTAAACTCCTGAGTATGTTAAATCCCACAGCAAAACTGCTTACGAGGCAGAAACAGTCTCTGCAAGCACAAGTGATGTGGCCCTGGCAGTCTCACACTGGCACCTCTTTGCACTGAGACTGGCCTAACCAACACCTCCTGCTGGGATCAGAGAGGAGAGCTTTTCATGGGGGAAGAGTAACAGCCCTTTGCTGCATAACAGGGCAATTTGGCAGAAGTGGAAAGTGCTGTCTGCTTAGAGAAGAGCAGTAGGTATGGTTGCTAGGCACAACGCCTTATTCCCTCAATACGAGCATCAGGACACATCTTGGAAACAGGGATAGCCTGTGAAAGCTGTGAGTGCCCTGTAGTGTACTTTGTTTCCTGTAGCAGTGATGGGGGGACACTGGCCTTCTACAGACGTATCAATCTGTGGGAGCACCACAGAGCCGTGCAGAAGAGGCAAAGGGAAATAATGACAAGAAGGGGCCCTGGTCCCAAACAAAGCTGAAAAATGCATCAATATAAAAAATAACCAACAATCCAGGAAACTTGCAATAATGCAATGCAGCTCAACTGAATGTCAGGCTGACTTAGCAGGTTTTCTGTTTCTAAATGCTGGGTTTGTTGAGAAGAAACAAAGCCAACCTCCCTCCAAAGCCATTCTCCCTCCAAAGCCATTCCTTATTTCTATGTATGTAATGATGCTTTACACACCCAGCCCTTTTTTTTTTTTTAAAAAGCTGAGCTCAGCTCCTCATTCTCACAGTACGCTGCAGTCTATCTGTTGTCATTGTAGACTTTGAGGGTGGAAATAGCAAGTCTTTTCTTCTGGTGTTTTGTCTCCATGTTCTTCTTCTGGAAACTGGCAGCTGTAAGTCTCCTCTTTCTGACGTGACGGCTGTGGAGCCACCAACAGCCTAGAGAAGTTATGTTCCAGATCTGCAGTGAGAATAAGCAAAAGCACTGTACATCCAAGAGGTCTTCATACATGTCACTTAGCTGCCCCTCACCTTTGCCAATACAGCCCCTCTCTGAGGAAAGGGCAAAGACAGTGGTGCGCTGCGTCTTCATGAAACGAAGTAACCCACCCAAATCACAGAGTAAATCAGAATTTACTCTATTTATTCAATTTAACTTATTCCATTCTGACTCTGGATCAATGGACATGTCGTTCTCCACTGAAAAGCTACAGAGAAGTCCACAAAGGTGCCCTTACCGTGAGCTGTGCGGTCCTTTTCTTTCTTGAGTGACCATATGCAGAAATGCAAAAAGAAGGTCAGCAAGATGAGAACAAATACAGCCACTGCAGTAAGGATGGCCAGGATGGTGGTATACAGGGAGTTATTTGTAATAGCAACTGCAATCAAATATATTTAATAAAGATTAAGAAGTCACGTGCACTACAACAAGCCAAACATTCACACTTGTGTCTGCGCCACACAAGTTAAAAGCAGCATCTTGTTGCAATTTGTCTCAGCAGAACTAACATTTTCTCTGAATGAAGGGCCTGGACCTGAAAGGTACCAACTGACTGTAGGGACAAGCATGGGGGGAAAGGCAGGAGTAACGCAGCTTGCTGTCTTCAAGATAGTCAGCACCTGCAAAGCATGTACCCACTTATTCCTATCTAATTTTTTCCATGATAAGACATAAGATTTCAATTCTGAGTGTTGTGGACTCAACCAATACTTGGAACTGGATGACTATTTAAGCTATTGGCTTACTAAGAAAACTTAGTGAAACAGCAAGAGCAGTTCAATGGAAAATGCCAATAAACTGCCAAATAAGTGTGCTCCATTTAAGGATAATTGTTGGGCTTTTCTCTACCGTTATTACTGACCGTGTTTTAATATTTGCCCAGGCCAACAATTCTACCAATTTTAATAATGCATGAAACACAATGGTAATTTTCCAAGCAAATTTTCATGATAGCAAGCTCTGGATGATAACTATGCATCAAGTCAGCAGCTGAAGAAATGTAAAGAAAAGATACAGGCTCAAAGAAACAAATCATTCTGAGAAGGTACCTCGCTCCAAATCTTTGGTGAATCCACATACTGCGTTATGTGTACTGTTGCCTTGTTTGATGGTTAGAAACCCCAAACTTTCACAGCTGAAAGAAGAATAAGAGTCACATTTAGAATGCCCCTGCCTTTCACTGCATTCCTATCCAGCCTTTCTCTTGGGTCCCTTTCTTCCCTCCCTCCACTCTTTCTTCACAACTTGTCTCCTTTTTTATTGCAGTGCGGGTAAAACTATGGCTGTTCCCCAACAAGATGACAAAACATCACAATTGTTTATCTGCACCATTTTTAGCCTCTTCGTTTCACGTGATGCCCATGTTTGGAATAATTTTGCCTCAGTCTGAGCTGAACTTGGAAGCAGGTTCAATATACAGCAGTTTGTCTTAAGTTCTGCTTTGAGACCGACCATTTATAAAGTCAAAGGAGAGAGAAATACCATATGCTGCTGAATTTTAAAGACTCGTCACTTAATCTCAGCCGTGTTCTTATCTTTGATTCAATTTTATTTTCTAATTTAAGTACTAATCATTCAATAATTTTATCATGCATATTTCCAAAGAAGGAAAGTATCAATAAATACATACTCAGTCCAGTTACGGCACCAGCCATTCTTAACGTTAGAATAGGTTCCTATCTCACACGGTTTACATTGGAATATGAAGTCTAAAATGCCTACAAGAAAGAGAACATGAATTATTAGTGGTCAGTGCCTTTACTGAAAGATGGCCATACAGCAGATTAGAGCACAATGCATGCCCTCTACGCTCTTTCTGCATTATGAATCACCCCCCTTGGAGAAACACCCAAACAGCTCTTGCCACCTTTGTATTTTAGGAAACATATGGGCAGACCCCTTCCGGAAGAGGTACAGAATAATCTGACAGCAGAGGGTGTAAAGTTAAGAGGCAAAACAAAGTGTCTTCTGTTGACAGATTTAGCAGCTTGGAAGAAAAGTAATACTGCAAGTCTGAGCACGAAAGTGAAAGTTTCAAATTGAGGAAGGGAACTGTTACAAAAGTGGTGAGCAGAGCAGTTAGTCACAGAGGCCACAGCATGAATCCCATTTCTCTCTGCATTGTGAGCCTTCCCAAAAGCAGGTTATAATAAGTGAAGGGAACCCTCTGCTGCTCAGCCAGCCACTGATACTGAACTCTGCCTTTTATTCCCATTTCTTTAGTTACCAGTCTTAAGCAGCTCCTCGCCCTCTGCACATTCAGGCAGTTCTGTGCAGTACAGACACGAACGATCGGCACAGCTGTAGCCCTGACGACATTTGCAGTCATGGTCCTGAGCATTTTGACACATGTTGTCTGCTGTCAAGAAGAAAAAAGTTAGATTTGCCCTTGCCATAGAAACCAGAAATTAAGTTAACCATTAGTCTTACTGGTTATCTGAGCACTGCATGACTTACCACTGTAACTCTTCTCTCTTATCTGGAATACCAGTGTAGGTTGTGGTAGACAGAAGTAAGGCAGCAGGTTTGTTTTAATACATGGTGCAGATTTAGACACTGTGGGGTGAGGAGGGAACTGCCAGTGTCCCAGAGAAGCACGACACATTACTTAGCCATCCAGTCAGTTCTCAGGATGCTGCCAGAGCTCTTCTGAGTTAGGCTTGACCATGGAAGGATGCCCAAAAGATCCTTGGCCAGTGAAGCTAGAGCTCCTTTTCCATGCCTTTCCTAACAAAAGCAGTTGCTTCCCACACTCTGTTGGCAGAAGTAGGTCTAAATCTGAGCCACAAAACCAGCACCTTTCCTACCTTCTGTCTTCCTATTTCTAGAAGACTTCTGTTGTGAACTTTGCTTACGCTCCAAAAATAGCATCTCTAACTCTAAGAGGCTTATGAAAACAAAGGATCAATCATATATACTGATCCCATCAGTGACTACTAAGCAGTCCTTCAGGCAGATGGAGACCTGTTAGAGGAAAAGTGCTCTTCAACCAGGAAGCTGTATTACCTTAAAAAAAGAAGAGGAAATTCCTGTCCAGTTCAATGGTGTACTTAAAAACCCACAGTGCAAAGATCAAAGCGAGATTACTTCCTGAGGTTGGTGATGGAATGTACAGGCTCACCAGGGAACTGCCCACATGTTTTTTTGCCAACTGGCCCCCTCTTACTGACCTTCAAGACTTAATGAAGTCTGGCAGCAAAAAAGAAACAGTCTGGGGATGCTTCTTTCTATGCAGGTGATTCTGGAGTTGATCCCACCGAGCAATGACTCTGACCTCATGCTGATGTCTTTATCTCAGTGTAAATGGAAATACCCTGGGGTCTCTGCACAACTGAGGACTCGATAGCTCTTTGCCTCAGTGTCCTCGCTGTCAGTTAAGGCAGACACATTCAAGCTACTAATGAGAGGCTGACACTTACCTAAGCAACAGGGCTAGCTAGGTATCGGTGCCAATCTGCAGGGCAAGAGCACTGCCATACTACAAGCTGCATGTCTTGTTCAGGTACAGCTACCGCTACAGACAGCACTACATTCAGAAGAATAGTCTGACTGTTACTGAGACCATGGGAGAGGCCATTAGAATCACCTGTTGTGCCCTTCAGCCTAACAGGCACAGAAATGTCACCCAATAAGTCCTGCAGCAAGCCTGTTCCACCTCCAGCGTCTTAATTTGACTTAAAGTTACAGGCAAGCGAGAATCCATTACCACCTCACCACCATCCTAAGATCAGGCAAGGATACAGGTTAGAACAGGCTGTTGAAACTAATGATCATCTGAGACCTTGTCTGGCCATCTATCTACTCCTGGGACAAGCCCAGGTCAGCAGAATGGAGGGACTGAAGTGGCATGCTTTCTACTCTTTAGAACCACAAATTGCAAAGCCTTACAGAAAGCATCACTCCCTGTATTCCCTCTGAAATCTGAATGGCACAGACAAACCCTGAAACCATGTTGGAATGGAGCAAGGGCTCAGGATCAGTGTTAAGTGAGCATTTCCTTCCACTGTCAGCAAGACCAACCCACAGAAACTTAGCTTTCCCTTTCCCACTACAGAATAACAGGTACAAGCATGTTACAAATCTGAAACACGAGTCCACTCCGAAGTTTACAGCGAAGGCACATTGTGAATTCATGGGACAGGAAGGAAGCCCTTGCCATTTTGTTTTGCATATACAGTTACTCAAGATACATTTACATACGTGCACACACACCTGTTCCCCTCACTCGTTTAGCTTGGTTGACATAAAACAATACCAGTCAACAGAATGAAGACAGGCACATCATTCCCTTACCTCTGCTTGATATGCATATGGGGCAGCATTTCTTTTCGCCTTTACTGATTATCCTCAGTTCACCACCCTGACATGGTGTTGCCAGAGTTTGCTGTGTCCATTGCCACAGGCACCCCACCAGCAGCAAGCATGCTCGGATCTTGAGGTGACTGACTTCACTTCTCTGTTCAGTCATGTCTTGAGCACAGCGGGGTGGGCTTGTATCTGAATTTCCCTGCAAAGGTGCTCTTTCGCCTGATACTGTGGGAAGGCACTCTGCTTTTTGTAGCTGTGGTGGCACCCTTCCTGTGTTTTAGGGGCGGGGAAAAGACTATTCTACATCATCAAATTCTTAAAAAAGCAGGGCTAAGCAAGCACGCACCAGTGATTCCATGAAGAGAGCAGCAGGTTAGGAACAAGATGTAGCACCATGTAATTTGATTTTCAAAGGACTGTGCGAGTTGATATACAATTGAAAATGAATGCAAATTAGTGTGTGAACTTCAGCACTCACAGACAATTTCGTTCTGACTTAGAGTTCCTAATGAATTTCAAAACCTTCAAGGATTTAACTGTCAGACTGCAATGTACAGTAAGTCCATCCATCCAGTCAGGTTTTCTGATTCTGTTAATTGTTTTCACAGAATCACAGAGGTTGGAAAAGACCTACAAGATCCAGTCCAACCATCAACCCAACACTCCCATACCCACTAGACCACGTCCTCAAGCACCATGTCTACACATTCCTGGAACACCTCCAGGGATGGGGACTCCACCAATTCCCTGGGCAGCCTCTTCCAGTGCCTGACCAATCAACCCCCTTCACTCTGAATCAGGAGACTTGGATTATTTTCCAGAGCCAGTGTAACCCCATATGGATACCATAAAACCAAGAGAAAGAATACTATCTTCCCCATAAGCTGCAAGATCAGCCCTTGGATCAAAACTGAAAACAGCTGCAATGGGCTCTTTAAAGACACATACAGCTCCTCTGACTCCCACATCCCTGGATTTAGGTACATAGGTACAGACATGTTGCCTGTAATCATCACCTCCTGCTGGGTTTCAATTCCAAAATATGTTCCCTTATACAAATGCTTATGCAAACTTCCCTCTCTCCTGTATGTGTAGACAGATTTCTTGCTCCCCCCTTCCCCTAACTCCCCTTCTATTTCCACTGTACCCCAGGGTTTGCTCCTATCCCTGCAGCTTGTGGTTGCTTCTATGCGTACACAGCGAAGACAGTATTTCAAATCCAACCACATTCTCAACTGAACAGATGAATTCTGATGCAGAAGTGGTTTTTAACGGGTTCTTTTCCATACCACACATGATGACAAATAGGTCAAGGGTCTGACTAGACCTGTGAAGAGATATGACCACCCCTAAAAAAAATGCCATGCCTACGCAGCATTTGACACTTAGCCTGTTAGTTCCTTAGTTTAATACACAGCCAGGGAAGCCTGAGTAATCTTCCTACACAGACACCATCACTCTTTCATCAGTGTGTTCTACATTTTCTTCCTGAAGATTCATCTATGGATCTCAAAGAGCAGGTCAGTCAAGGTCATTCACTTAGTCTTTGGTCTATTCAGGGATCTACCTGTGTTCCTGTCACGGGTTGGAAACAGTCAGACAGGTCTGGTATGCAACAGACCCTGCTAGTTTTAAAAATATAGGCAGCAAAGCTGCTTGCACCCTTAAATGTGCTAAGTGAAACCTTTCCATCAAAAGATGACATCCAAACTAGCTGCAAGCAGGCAAAAGACACAGGTCTCTGCCGTCAGTTTTTCCCACACAATGCCCCTAGAAGGCCAACCGTTATGTTTCGGAAACTCAAAGTCTCCTACTTTGTACTTCTGGCACACAGGAGATCCCCTTCTCTTCCCACACAGCGCTGCTCTTCACACTTGTCACAGCCTGTGCTACTCAGGCTACACTGGAAGCAGACACACTGCCTGCTGCAGTTGCTGCCCAACTGGCCAGGGAGTCCTGGACCCCACAGTTCTTGGGTTCGGGCCCCAAGTCAGGATTCCTTTCACCAGATCCTCCACCAGCAAGACCACAATGCTTGGGCAACAGGGAGAGGGAATGTTTGCAGGTACTGGGCAGGGTGCTGCCCCTGCACAGAAAACACAGTGCACTTGGTAGCACACAGAACTTTGTCTCACCCTCTTCAGAACTCAGCACAGTCTTATGATGAAGACAAATTATTAGGCAAAGCACTTGGACACTGTATCAACACACTCTGCAGACCAATCAGTTATGACCATTTCTGAATTGCACACAGCACTGACCAACTCTGAGGATACTTTTATTACCCCTGGCTCTTAGGCTAATACTACAGAGAACTTGTTTCAAAATCCTTACGATGTGGCTACATTAAGACTCACCCCAGGGCATGCTAGCTGCAGGGCAAGGAATACCTGGAGCACACTAAGCCCCTTCACCTTACTGTGGCTGCAGCCAGAATTTCTGGTGGCAGAGCAGCCCATGTCTGCCCCAATAACAAGTGCTGCTACTGCTCTTGTAAACTGTGTGCCAGCCAAACTCTCTCTTCCACCCCCTCCTACCCTTTGCCCCTTCCCCAGAGTAGCTAGCTGCTACACCTGGTACAGCAGGGAAACGTGCACCAGCAACGTGTAGCAGCTAGCTACTCACCACATCCATAAAAAGACTGTGGCCAGGAGGGCATACATCTCCCCAATCTGCCCAACACTTTCCTGGGCTCTGCAAGTCTGTCTCAGACTCTGTAAAAGAGGTATTTAGTTTCACCTGCATCAAGAAAGTAAGAACAAAAGACCCATCAGGAAAGCCAAATTTCTTGAAATCAAGACTTCTTCATCGTCGCAGCAGCACCCACCTTTGATGTCAGGTGTTTCCAGTTTCATTACAAGATAGCATATAGGCTCCTTACAAACATAAAAGGGCTACACACCAGCTTACCACAGCCGGCAACACTCATAGAAATTGCAGGACACGTCACAAATGGTCTTAGGAGTAACCCTGACAAATCGGATTTTCATGAGGCGCCTAGAGACAAATGTAACCCTGGTATAGGAAGAGATGGGACCAGCTCTGTGGGTTGCTGAGATGTGCCCAGGGGTGAAGCTCTGGCTCCCCAGAAACTCCCTGAGGCTTTGTTGTATGTACTTGTACCCTGGGTGGAGGCCCACTATCAGTACTGATGTGGAGGAGACAAACCCTGTTAGGATGCCAGAGCAGGGCTCCCAAGGAGCTGAGAGCCATTTAGCCTCACTTCCTGGGAGTTACACCCCAAGGCCATACCCCGGAATATCCGGCACACCAATCACTGATAACTAACGCTGCCGAATAACCAACAGGAAAAGTCTTACTTCCAGCAACAGCTGGGATGAGCAATTTTACAACTAACAGAAAGACTTGAGTGGCAGAAGACCAGGTCTCTAAGTTAGCCACCGATGCCTTACTTTCTTCACCTTCAGAAGAAGTATAGCAGCATCAGACCATGTCTACCAGAAGGGACAAGGTCAGTGCACTGGTCCCAGATAGAGGAATTCGCTATTCCCCTGAAGCTCAGAGATGGACATTCATAACTAGCACTGACTAAATACCAAATATGAACACTAATCGGACTTTTGCTCAGCGTCATAAAGGCAGCAACGGAGAAGGGACCTCCAAAGGTCCTACTGAAACAAGTGGCAGGGGGTACGCAGGGGAACCCTAAGCCTGGTAAAGGTTGCGGGCGGGCAGTTAGCGTAAGTGATGCGTGACACCGGGCGTTTATCAGAATAGGAACTGATAATTTATCTACCTCTTTTTCAAATGTTCTTTTTCTGTACTGGTCTCTACATGTTTTCATTCTTGTTCAACCATTACAGTCATCCACAGATACTGCCAGATGATGGAACATTTACAGTCAGACCACAGGCAATAGTTGTATAAGCCTCATCTAAATCTCTAGAGTCAGCAGTGACCTTTCAGATACAACCTGACTATCTGCCTTTGAAATCTTTGGGGTTTTTCTAAAGCTAACCTTACCTGTCTCCGATGTAAGGTAGCGACATTTCATCTGGCAATCCCTTTCTTGGTCGGTCCTGCACATGATGTACGTGAATGCCGCCAGGTTCCACGCTGCTGCCCGATTCCGTAGGGTTTCCGTCTCTCTCTGCACCTACTAATAGAACAAATGCCTATTTCACTCATCAATAAGCAGTAGTTCCCACTCCTCATCAATTGCGTGGTCGTTTTATTCAGCAGCAGCTACAGGATTAACTACACAATATTTGACTGAGACTTCTCAGGAATTCGGAATCCTTACAGTCTTTATCTTCACACACAAGCAGAGGTTCTGTGGCCTGCGGGGTTTCTTTTGATCCATGTGACTTGTGTTCAAAATTACAATCCCAAGGGTTAAAAGGCCCTTGGAAGCAATGTGGTCTGCAGGGTTATCCGAGCACACGTACCATGCAGTGCTTTCTCCTTTGCGTGGAACAGCAAGACACAGCAAAGTCTCGAACAGGCAAAGAGAAGCAGCCAGGGGCCAGGATATCCAGAAACGCCTTGGGGTTCAAAGCTCCCAGTTGCCCTAGAAAGGAGCACCCGAAGGCTGCTGCTAATGTCCCTTTGAAGAGAGGCTCTGCAAGGGCTGGTGCTGGAGGATGAACTGAAGTGCCTCCTGCGTGCCCAGCTCTGGTTCCTCACTCTTGGGTGAAGATGTCTTAACCTTTTATGACTTCTCTTTCAGGAACCTCCATCCAGAGTGTGGGGCCTCACCCTACCACGAGACTTGGGAAAGATGGATTGCTTCTCCTTCCTTCAGCAAAGGAAGGGAGGCACAGAAACACATGTGGCAAGAGAGCCCAAGCGCAGTGGCTCACTCCTCCCTGCCTGCCCAGACCGCCGGAAAAGAAAGGACTCTTCCAGCCGCACTTGCCCGTACCCACACATGGCTCAGGGCAGATTAAGGGATGGTGATGGAACAGAAGACGTTACAGATCTCCTAATCCCTTCCCCCTCCTCTGTGCTACCTTGACCTGCACACATAACCATAGAAGGAGTGCTCAAGGCTGAGATTTGAAGGAAGAACAAGCGGATATTTCCACCCACTCAATGTACCAACGTAGCAACTTGTACCTCTGTCTTCAAGGCACAAATTCCTAAGAGTATTTACAGAACTGGATGTGAATTCTACTTTTCCCCACCTTCGGGATATCC